TCTATTAATTTTCTCGTGACCCGTGTACGATTAACAAAAATGACCAATGACTCTCGTTGTACATTAAACGATTCTAATTTTCAACTAATTCCGACAGTATCAAATTTCAAATATTCTCAAGTAATTCTTCGTAATTCCAACATCAAAATTCTCCCTACGTTAGTCTGCTGTTTAGTTTTACACAATGACGACGTGGAATTCATTCTTCAAATCGACGAAAACGCGAAATTAATTCCGTTGAAATTAATGCTAGGATCGATAGGAAGAAAAGTTCGTCAAGGTTATAAATTAGCTGATACAGCTAGCGCCTTGGAGAACCTTGATCGTTTCGATGGTTATTTATAGAGTCGAAGGAATCGCACCGAAGGCACGTATCTTCCGTCTATTTTCGAAGGCTTCGATCGTACTAAGGAACACGTTTCTTGAATGTTCGCAGATTATCAATATGGACACGCATTCCCTGGACTTGGACTGCTCAATCCTTGGGTGGATGTCGCGTGTTTAGGACACGCGTGGCACTTCCCTCATCCGGCGTTCGTCAAAGGTAAGAGAGTTCTATCGATTTTCTTTCTTCGCTCTTTTCGATTCAGTAAATCCGCTTGATCCTTGCGTGTAACGTAACCAATATTTTATTTATGTTTCTTTTAAAAAATTTTATTTTCTCGTTAACTCACTGACTCTTGTCGATTATCAATCACAAGAATCTCTCGCCATATCCTTGATAACGTTAACATATTCATTGCGACAAGAGTTTTAACGAAATGAGAAATTGGAAAATTAAGTAATTTGATCGTAAATTCCGACCTCGGTCCATATTTCAGCCAAAGATTGAAATTTCCAAGAATTTCTCGTCGCATACACATTGCACTCTTGTCGAGTAATCATTTCTTTCTGTCCACGCAAGGATTAAGAAACGTAATAATATCCCATACGAGTCTCCGCAAAACGCGCGTGCACGAATCATCGTGTGATCAAAAATACCAGTCACGCAGGAACGTGTTCCTAATCGCTCCCATCAGAGCCCTTCATCCTCGTCCGGATCGCAATCAATCAAAGGGCAACAATGCACGCGGCCAAAAGAATCGGTCCGACTCCGGCTAGGAGAGGAAAAAAAAAAAAGAAAAAAGAAAAAAGAAGCTTCGAAAGAGGACACGCGTTCAGACGAGAGCGAGTTCGCGTTATCGATTTCGCCAGAGTCCGCGACGCCTGCCGATGATTCATACTCGGTGGCTGGACCGAGGGTGAGCCCGAGTTCCCTTTTCCCACAACGGACCCCTTCGACCCCCATGCGTCGTCCCCATCCACGCAACAACAATACGACTTAGTTCCCTTCGCCCACCAAATCTTCCTTCGCAGTAGATACATCAGCTTCTCGAAAAATCACGACTAATCGACGCCTTGTTTTCTTCTCGGGAACCATTTCAGCGTTATTCGTTCAGTAATTGCCTTCTCCGCCGTCTTTGCAAAAATTAAGAACAATCGTCACTTTCCTTTCTTTTATAAAAAAAAAA